TCTCTCTCTCTCTCTCTCTCTCTCCTCCTCTCTCTGTCTCTCTCTCTCTCTCTCTCTCTCTCTCTCTCTCTCTCTCTCTCTCTCTCTCTCTCTCTCTCTCTCTCTCTCTCTCTCTCTCTCTCTCTCTCTCTCTCTCTCTCTCTCTCTCTCTCTCTCTCTCTCTCTCTCTCTCTCTCTCTCTCTCTCTCTCTCTCATCTCTCTCTCTCTCTCTCTCTCTCTCTCTCTCTCTCTCTCTCTCTCTCTCTCTCTCTCTCCCTCTCCCGTCTCTCTTCTCTCTCTCTCTTTTCCTCTCTCTCTCTCTGTCTCCAGTGTCTTGTGTTCGAGGATGCTCCCCTCGGCGTTGCCGCGGCGATCTCTGCTCAGATGCAGGTCGTCATGGTCCCGGACCCGAACCTGGACCGGGCCCTGACCCGAGACGCCTCGCTCACTCTGCCCAGCATGGAGCACTTCAGACCCGAGCTCTTCGGACTGCCGCCTTTTGAATAACCCTGATGCCCTCCCGTCCTCCTCCCTCCATCCCTCCGGCACCTCTCCGTCGCCATGGAGATGAAATATTCCGCGGTGTGGCATTAAACATACTCATCTCCCATGTTTTCAGCTGTTTATCAAGCTTTACTCACTGCATTTAATGCCACACTGCGGAACATTCCAGGCCAAGCGTTAACATCGCCATGGAGACGGTGAAGAAGGCCATGCCCCCTCCCCAAGAAAAGTTACACGCTGCTTCTTTAACTGAGACGGGGGCAGATCAAATGTGTCACTGATAAAAAATGATCAGGGAAAATGTTTTAAAATGATAATTAAACATGAAATAAAACGGATTTAAATGTTATAAGTTATTCTCAGTTTGAGTTTATTTTGAATTATTGATAAAAGTGATTAATATTTGTCATGTCTGAAAAAAAAATGTAAAAGTGTCAAAACGGTTTGTCGACGAATTAAAGAGATTTCAGCATTTCATGTCATGTTGAGTGTTTTTATGTGATTATGGAGAAATATTGAGATAAACCAGGACTAAACTAGAACTAGACCAGGACTAAACTAGAACTAGACCAGGACTAAACTAGAACTAGACCGGGACTAGACCAGGACTAAACTAGAACTAGACCGGGACTAGACCAAGGCTAAAACTGGGGTAGATCAGAGTTAGACCAGGGTTAAACCAGAACTAAACCAGGACTAGACCATGAACTAGACCTTAAAATAAATCAAGATTAACTAACCCAAGCCTGCACAAGGACTAGACCAGGACTAAACAAGGACTAAACCAGGACTAAACCAAAGCTAAAACAGGGAAAAATCAGGGTTGGACCAGGGTTAAACCAGAACTAAACCAGGACTAGACCATGAACTAAATCAGGATTAACTAACCCAAGCCTGCACAAGGACTAAACAAGGACTAGACCGGGGTTAGACCAGGCCTAGACCATGACTGAACCAGGACTAGACCAGACCTACACCAGGAGTATACCAGACTAGACCAAGGCTAAAACAGGGCTAGATCAGGGTTAGACCAGGGTTAAAGCCTGCACAAGGACTAAACCAGGGTTAGACCAAGGTTAGGGTTAGACCAGACCTAGACCACAACTGAACCAGGACTAGACCAGGACTAGACCATGAACTAAATCAGAATTAACTAACCCAAGCTTGCACAGGAACTAAACCAGAACTAGACCAGAACAAGACCAGGACTAAAACAGGGCTAGACCATGACTGGACCAGGACTAAACCAGGACTATACAGGGCTAAACAGGTCTAGACCAGAACTAGACCAGGACTGAACCAGGACTAGACCATGAACTAAATCAGAATTAACTAACCCAAACCTGCACAAGAACTAAACCAGAACTAGACCGGGGTTAGACCAGGCCTAGATCATGATTGACCAGGACTGAACCAGGACTAGACCAGGACTAAACCATGAACTAAATCAGGATTAACTAACCCAAGTCTTCACAAGGACTAAACCAGAGCTAGACCGGAGTTAGACCAGGCCTAAACCAGGACTGACCCAGGACTGAACCAGGACTAGACCAGGACTACACCAAGACTAGACCAAGGCTAAAACAGGGCTAGATCAGGGTTAAAACCTGCACAAGGACTAAACCAGGGCTAGACCAAGGTTAGGGCTAGACCAGACCTAGACCTGAACCAGGACTGAACCAGGACTAGACCATGAACTAAATCAGAATTAACTAACCCAAGATTGCACAAGAACTAAACCAGGGCTAGACCAGAACAAGACCAGGACTAAAACAGGGTTAGACCATGACTGGACCAGAACTGAACCAGGACTATACAGGCCTAAACAGGACTAGACCAGAACTAGACCAGGACTGAACCAGGACTAAACCGTGAACTAAATCAGGATTAACTAACCCAAGTCTTCACAAGGACTAAACCAGAGCTATACCAGAGTTAGTTCAGGCCTAAACCAGGACTGAACCAGGACTAAACCAGGACTAAACCAGGGCTAGACCAAGGTTAGGGCTAGACCAGACCTAGACCACGACTGAACCAGGACTAAACCAGGACTAAACCAGGACTAGACCATGAACTAAATCAGAAGCTTGGGTTAAGCTTGCACAAGAACTAAACCAGGGCTAGACCAGAACAAGACCAGGACTAAACCAGGACTAAACCAGGACTATACATGATTAAACAGGTCTAGACCAGAACTAAATCAGGACTAAACCGGGTCTAAACCAGGACTTGAGGATCTCTAGGTTTGTTTCCCCATGCATTGTTCTCCCAGGACTAAACCAGGATTGGATAAAAAGCTCCAAAACAAACAAACGTTGTACAATTTAAAACATAAAGTAATTTCCTGTTCACTTTTCACAGATTGCGTCCGTGCACTTGGATTCCGTTTGGTTTTCGGCGTGTGAAAGCGGAGGTGTTAATGAGTCCTCTGGTGACCGAAAATCTCAAATCTCAAATTAAAGACGTGAAAATGAGTCCAACAGCAGCAGATACAGAGACGCTAAAAATAAACGGGGATTCATTAGAGTTTGACGAGAGATTAAAAATAAATGAGAAGAATCATTATTAACCAGAGGCAAACAGCCGCGGAGCAACGTATGGGGACGATACCCAAAGATCCTCAAGTCCTGGTTTAGATCTGCTTTAGTCGAGGTTTGGTCCTGGTTTAATTCTTCTGCGGCCTTTGTTTAGACCTGGTTTAGTCAAGGTTTGGTCCTGGTTTGGTCCTGGTTTAGTCCTAGTTTGGTCCTGAAACACCTGAGAGAGGAATATAAGGGGACAATACCAATCCTCAAGTCTTGGTTTACTCCTGATTTAGTCCTGGTTTAGTCCTGGTTTAGACCTGGTTTAGACCTGAAACATCTGTGTCAGGGGACGATACCCAGAGATCCTGAAGTCCTGGTTTTGGCCTGGTTTTAGTCAGGGTTTGGTCCTGGTTTAGTTCTTCTGCGGCCTTCATTTAGACCTGGTTTAGTCCTGACTGGATCCTGGTTTAGCCCTGGTTTAGACCTGGTTTAGTCCAGGTTTAGTCCTGAAACAGCTGGAGAACAATGTGTGATACCAAGAGATCCTCAAGTCCTGGTTTAGGCCTGGTTTTTAGCCAAGGTTTGGTCCTGGTTTAGTTCTTCTTTGGTGATGGTTTAGTCCTGGTTTAGTCCCTGGTACAGTCCTGGTTTAGACCTGGTTTAGTCCTGGTTTAGACCTGGTTTTGTCTTGGTTTAGTCCTGAAACAGCCGGGAGGGGAATGCGTTGGGGGACGATACCCAAAGATCCTCAAGTCCTGGTTTAGATCTGCTTTAGTCGAGGTTTGGTCCTGGTTTAATTCTTCTGTGGCCTTTGTTTAGACCTGGTTTAGTCAAGGTTTAGTCCTGGTTTAGTTCTTGCGTGGTGTGGGTTAGTTAGTTCTGATTTGATCCTGGTTTCGTTCTGGTTTAGTCCCTGGTTTAGTCCTGGTTTCGTCCTGGTTTAGACCTGGTTTAGTCAAGTTTTAGTCCTGGTTTAGTCCTGATTTGATTTTGAAAGAGGAACGTATGTGGAGAGATACCCAGAGATCCTCAAGTCCTGGTTTAGTCCTGGTTTAGTTCTTCTGTGGCCTTCGTTTAGTCCTGGTTTAGCCATGGTTTGGTCCTGGTTTAGTCCTAGTTTGGTCCTGAAACAACTGAGAGAGGAATATAAGGGGACAATACCAATCCTCAAGTCTTGGTTTAGTCCTGATTTAATCCTGGTTTAGTCCTGGTTTAGACCTGGTTTAGTCCTGGTTTAGACCTGGTTTAGACCTGAAACAGCTGGGAGAGGAATGTGTCAGGGGACGATACCCATAGACCCTCAAGTCCTGGTTTTGGCCTGGTTTTAGTCAGGGTTTGGTCCTGGTTTAGTTCTTCTGCGGCCTTCATTTAGACCTGGTTTAGTCCTGATTGGATCCTGGTTTAGCCCTGGTTTAGACCTGGTTTAGTCCAGGTTTAGTCCTGAAACAGCTGGAGAACAATGTGTGATACCAAGAGATCCTCAAGTCCTGGTTTAGGCCTGGTTTTTAGCCAAGGTTTGGTCCTGGTTTAGTTCTTCTTTGGTGATGGTTTAGTCCTGGTTTAGTCCCTGGTACAGTCCTGGTTTAGACCTGGTTTAGACCTGGTTTAGTCTTGGTTTAGTCCTGAAACAGCTGAGCGAGGAATGTGTCGGGGGACGATACCCAGAGATCCTCAAGTCCTGGTTTTGGCCTGGTTTTAGTCAAGGTTTGGTTCTGGTTTAGTTTTTCTTTGGCCTTCGTTTAGACCTTGTTTAGTCAAGGTTTGGTCTTGGTTTAGTCCTTGTGTAGTTTGGGTTAGTTAGTCCTTGTTTAGTCCTGATTTGATCCTGGTTTAGTTCTGGTTTAGTCAAGATTTGGTCCTAGTTTAGTCCTTGTGTGGTGTGGGTTAGTTAGTTTTGATTTGATCCTAGTTTCATTCTGATTTAGTTCCTGGTACAGTCCTGGTTTAGACCTGGTTTAGTTCTGGTTTAGTCCTGGTTTGGTCCTGAAACAGCTGAGAGAGAAATGTATGAGGAAAGATACCCAGAGATCCTCAAGTCCTGGTTTTGGCCTGGTTTTTAGTCATGGTTTAGTCCTGGTTTATTTCTTCTGCGGCCTTCGTTTAGACCTGGTTTAGTCAAGGTTTAGTCCTGGTTTAGTTCTTTTGCAGCCTTCGTTTAGACCTGGTCCTTGTCCTTGTGTTGTTTGGGATAGTTAGTCCTGGTTTATTTCTGATTTGATCCTGGTTTAGTTCTGGTTTAGTCCTGAAACAGCTGGAGAACAATGTACAACAACAACAACACCAAGAGATCCTCAAGTCCTGGTTTAGACCCTGGTTTAGTTCTTCTTTGTTCTTTAATTGGACCTTGTTTAGTCAAGGTTTAGTCCTTGTGTGGTGTGGGTTAGTTAGTCCTGGTTTAGATCTGGTTTGGTAAAGGTTTAATCCTGTTTTAGATCTGGTTTAGACCTGGTATAGTCCCTGTGAAGTCTTGGATTAGGTAGTCTGGAATTATTTTTTAAAAAGAATAAACGTGATCCAGGAATAAATTCAGCTTTAAAATCGGAATAAACCACCCACTTACTTCAGGATTAAGTTTAATTCCTAAAAATCACTTTCATTAGGAATTAAGCGCTTACATGGTCTTAAACATGGAATTAATTTTTATTCAGAATTTAATTATTTTTATTTGGAATTAAACCTCTCATGTGGCATGTTTTTGTTTCATTAGAGCTGATTTTATTGTTCAGAAATACCTTTAAAAGCACGTATTCTTGTGTGAAAAGGCCCGCCTCTCCACAGAACTGATCTGTACTTCGGCCTGGTTTAATGCCGCACTGTGAAACATTCCAGGCTGAACAGTTCGCCAGAATTTTGAGATTTCTCGACATCTCTTCTCGCCAAATAAAACTGAACTTGGACACAGGAGAGAGTTTTAAATCGTCTTTTGGTTCAGGAGGAGCAGGGAAAGCGCGGAGGAG